TTTTGGCTTGGACCTTCGCTTGTCCTTGCACGGGCTGCCCACCCGGGACCCGGGCGGCCCGGCTGGTAGCCTAGATTCTAGCGGCGAATGCAGTCAGGTACATCCTGACAATTGTGAGTGTGAGAATGGCAGTAGTGGTGTGCTTCTGGTACACAGTCTGGAAAGCTGACTCAAAGGATGCTCATCATGAGCAGAGGACCTGTCTCCCCTAACCACCAAATGTGAGAAATGAGAATCCTCCACCAGAACATGGAAAGATACACGTCCGCACTTTTTGTATTTTGTGCGTGTGGAGAGAAGTGCACCGAGGCCCGCTATCTGGAAACGTCTTCCTTCCTCGTTGGTGGGCGCGGTCGTGGTACGGTACGGTATAGGCATGGCTCTGGCTCCACTACGCTCGACATGCAGAAACGACAAAAATGATGGCGGTGCATCTTTCCGTGTTCTAGGGGAAGATTCACTCTCGTTTTGCACATTTTTTGGAGAGGAGTGGAGAGGAGCGAAGGCCATGGGACTGGTGTTGGGAAAACGCCGGGGACAGGAGATGGAGTGGGAGTGATAGCAGTTCAGTTCAGAGTTGCGCCGCAGTCATCGCGTCTGCTCCATGAGCTCTCGTCGATCGCTCGCTTGGTTTGTTTGCTCTGCCGCGCGCACTCGATTGATCGCGTGACTGCTGCATTCTGCTCAACGTTCACTTGTGCAGATTGACGATTTTCGTTTTCGATTTCGATTTCGATTTCGGTCGACCGACCACCTCTCTCTTCGCTCTTCCCTCTACCTTCTTCCCTCTACCTCTCGTGCCTACGTGAAGAAGCAAGTGCACCGTTGGCAAGACAATGGGCTGTGCTACCTTGGAGCTCAAGCACGAGTGATTCGCCTCTGGAGTCTGAATCACTGGCCTCCCTTTCTCTTCCTTCCTCCCTCTCCCTCCCTCCCTATCCCTCTCTCCCTCTCTCTCTCCCTTTCCCTCCCTCCCTCTCTCTCTCTATTTGTTGGCGGTCTGTTGTTCGAACGGTCAGCTGATCGGCTTGCTCCCCCAAGCTCAGGATACTGTTCACGGCGATACTTCTCCCTCTGTGTGTTCCTGTTCCTCTGCTTGCGCTCCATCCTCCAGCCTTCGTTTTCCTTCCAATCGAGCAACGCACACACACACACACACACACACACAG